AGTGGAAGAGATGCTCCTCCCATAGGTAGTCATTGGGAAGAATGTCCCTTACAATAGTGGTCAGTGAGACGAATGCCCTTTACATTGGTGGTCAGAGGGAAGAATGTCCCTTACATTGGTGGTCAGTGGGAAGAATGTCCCTTACATTGGTGATCAGTGGGAAGAATGTCCCTTACATTGGAGGTCAGTGGGAAGAATGTCCCTTACATTGGAGGTCAGTGGGAAGTATGTCCCTTAGATTGGTGGTCAGTGGGAAGAATGTCCCTTAGATTGGTGGTCAGTGGGAAGAATGTCCCTTACATTGGAGGTCAGTGGGAAGTATGTCCCTTAGATTGGTGGTCAGTGGGAAGAATGTCCCTTAGATTGGTGGTCAGAGGTAGGCATGTCCTTGACATTAGTGATCAGTGGAATGAATGTCCCCTACATTGGTGTTCATTGGGAAGAATGCCCCTTAGATTGTTGGTCAGTGGCAAGAATGCCCCTTACATTGGTGGTCAGTGGAAAGAATGAATGCTCCTTACATCGGTGGACAGTGGGGAGAATGTCTAATACATTGATAGTCAGTGGGAAAATGTCTCTTACATTGGTGGTATGTGGTAAGAATGCCCCTTACATTGGTGGTATGTGGTAAGAATGCGCCTTACATTGGTGGTCACTAGGAAGAGTGCCTCTTACATTGGTGGTCATTGGGTAGAATGTCCCTTACATTGGTGGTCAGTGGGAAGAATGCCCCTTACATTGGTGGTCAGTGGGAAGAATGCCCCTTACATTGGTGGTCAGTGAGAAGAATGTCCCTTACATTGGTGGTCAGTGAGAAGAATGTCCCTTACATTGGTGATCAGTGGGAAGAATGTCCCTTACATTGGTGATCAGTAGGAGGAATGCCCCTTACATTGGTGGTCAGTGAGAAGAATGTCCCTTACATTGATGGTCAGTGAGAAGAATGTCCCTTACATTGGTGGTCAGTGAGAAGAATGTCTCTTACATTGGTGGTCAGTGAGAAGAATGTCCCTTACATTGGTGGTCAGTGGGAAGAATGTCTCTTACATTGGTGGTCAGTGAGAAGAATGTCCATTACATTGGTGGTCAGTGGGAAAAATGAACCCCTTACAGATAAAGTAGCTAAAAAGTCCACTATTGTCAGTAGTTACTTATCCGAGATTCAGAAATTGATCATTGTTCATCAAACCCCTAGCAACCTCTAGAGAAACCCTGGTTGAGAAAGACCATTCTATGAAATATAACTGAACAAGCCTCAAAGAAGAAAAAGAAACAGACAATGTAACATTCACCATATATTACTGCTATTTTTTTTTTTTTTTTATAAAAATATTGATCTACTAGAAAGCATTACAGCCTGCAACATAATGAGTGTATGTTGGATTAATGAATATGCTATTCAATGGAATCAAGCATTTACATACCACATAGAGTGGACAAACTCATGAAGAATTTAAGAAGCAGTCAGCTCAGTCTAGAAGTCAGCAGGCAATTGCCAGGGAACATGTTTTTTCTACTGACAGATTCAGAAAAGTGAAGTGCCAGCTGAATTTTTCTTTGTGTGTGCATGTGTATGATTGTGCACGTGTGTATATATTTTCAAAACTTACATAAACAAAGTCAAAGTAATGCAGTAAAAAGTATTCTGTTTTGCATCTGGCTTGTTTAAAAGAACGCGAAGTGCATGCTTTTAGCAGAATAAGAAAAATCTGAGTCCCGTGACTGCCATGCCACTTCCAATTAGTATGAATTAGTACATATCACCTGATCCTGTGTACTGTACTGTGTATCTCTTGATCTTTTGTAACATAGGTGTTAGTGTTGACTTTACATAATAGCTTTACAATGAGGTGACAGCTTTTGAGTGTCCTTCTATTCATTCCTCCCCTGCTATTAATCAAACATCAGATAAAGGACCTTTGCCTAAGGGGATTACTATATGATACTTTCACAGTAAACTCTGATGTTCGCCCACCTAGATGGAAAGTATTGTTGATTTGCACACTATTGCTATGCAGGAGTGAGGTATCTAGTTGCAGTTAGTCACATTCAGCTTGACTTGTTCCATAATGTTTGAGACATTTTGTAGCTTCTCCTTTCATGCTGGAGTATTTTCCTGACACTAGAACTGAAGAAGTGGATTGGGAAACTATGAAGTGTCTTCAATATTACAGAACATTCCAGCTGAATGTGGCTAACTACTAGATAAACCAAGACCTAAATAAGTGGAATCCGTCACAGAATTAAGGTTTCTGGAAGCTACTCTATGGCTTTCTATACATGAAAACCATATGGAGACCATTGGATGGTGCATCTTCTCCACTGAAAGTAGCTGAAACAGATTTGGCTGTATCTGAGGGTGCCAAGTGAAGTCACCCACTATGGTAGGACTTCATCATCCACTCCAGCCAATTACCAAAATAGATATCTGCCCCATCATAGCAGCCCATGCACATGCCAATGACCATCTGAAATCTAAAGCGATTTAATTGTATGGATATTTTTTACACCAAGAGTCATAGTTCAGCTAGGAGTTCTGTGACTCACAGCCATAGGTCTGTAGGTCACTAGTGCCTCTTATACTGCCCACCAGTGAGCTAAATGAACTTTGCCAAAATTTACTCCTCTGCTGCTTTTAAGATCCCACCAAGGCTCTCAATAGAAAAGCAAAGGTGCCTATGGGATGGGTTGCAGTGTAGCAATCAGCTGGTCAGGCACAAATGAATATTTATAAATATAAGCTATACATTTATGACATTTTATTTTTAGTCTTAAAGTAAGAGTATCACACCTTGTTCTAAAAAAAAAAAAAAATAGTATCACACCTTGTCTTTGACCTGCAACTAAATGGTACTTTGCTAAAGAGAATCTGTCACCAAGATAAGAGAGCTTGCACATTTCACTAAGACCAGCCATAGAGGAGTCAAAAACCGAAAGAAAATTCTTGATCATTCATTTTTCACATCATTACTGTGCCAGCAGCGACATGTGATTTATGTGTCGCAATCAAAAGTGCCTGATCCAACATGTTGGATTTTGTTTTGAAAAAGGAAACAAATGATGGCACAATCATATTCACCATTTTCATTTTTTTGATTGACAGAACGTTCGGATTTTGACTTGTCTGGCCTGCTTTAGATAACTTAACACATTTCCCCTGTATGAGCAAGTTTTTTTAAAAGAATGTCATAACATAATACAAAGTTTACTCTGGAGTCAGCCATTTTCAATAACCCAATGCAGTTCCTTAAATCAGAGTTGGAGCTTCAAATTGAAAAGTGCAGGAAAACTCAGAATTTTCTACTGTTGATTATTCTGTAACCACAGCATTAAAGCAATAACAACTGATTTCTATATTCTTTAGAATATTGGGGGGATTTACTAAAAGTGGTGCACACAGAATCTGGTGCAGCTGTGCATAGAAACCAATCAACTTCCAGGTTTTATTGTCAAAGCTTAATTGAGCAATGTGAAGTTAGAAGCTGATTAGTGACCATACACAACTATGCCAAATTATGTGTGCGCCAGTTTTAGTAAATCTCCTCCAGCGATTTGGTTTCACAGGTGACAGATTCACTTTAGCAGCTATACTGCTATGAAAATAAAGTGGACCCGAACATCAGAAATAAGGCAGATTTAAAAAGTTGTAGGTGGAAAGACTGCATTGTAAAGAATCACATTCCATGTGTCATGGTTTAGCCAGCACTGGAACACTGACAGCTGGAATACAGTTGCTTTGAGCAATACAGTGTTCTCTCCACTTGTTCTAAATCAACTTTTCTTTTTGTTAAATTGGTTATTTTTTGCAATAAAACGTTAGAAGGGCAAGCTACTGGCAATGGCTAGTTGGAGCAGAAGTAGCAAACAGGGATAGGAGATTAGGACCAGCAGCAGCAGCAATATGTGTGCGCCTTGCAACTGGGAGGCTGTGTCTTGACACAAGAGTCAAGTTTCAACACTGCCATACCACAATTGTAGGTGTGAAAGACACGTGTTCTTTCTAAAAGCAATGTCAGGCAGTACAAAACCAGAGACAGCAGTCAGCGAGGGTTACCCCACTCCCACCTCCCACCTTTGCCCTTAGCAAGTACACAAGACTTGCTGTAGAGCTCCCTACCCAGTGAAGGAACAAGACTCTCTTATTATAATTTATAAACCAGGCAGCCACTAATACACCCCCCACCCCCTTACCCAATACCCAACCTAGTATGTTAGAACTGTTAAAACAGCATTAAAAAAAAAAAAAAAGAAAAAAAAAAAGCATGCCATTAAAAGTCTACCATCCAACAACAACATCAAGACTGCGAAAAAAAAGTTTAATATTTTAGTGGTTTAATTCTAATCTGCACTGTTCCATGACTACAAGGATGAAAAATAAAAAGAATAAATAGCAGATATACTTCATTTACAAGATTAGTTACTTTGCTTTTAAACTCCAAAAAAAGAAAAGTGTTCTCTTTATATACAGTAGCTGTAAAGTAATTTCTGACTTTTTTTTTTTTTTTGTCTTGAGGTCCATCAAGCTGCCACCTTCCCCGCACAATGGGGGAATAAAATGGCATCTATAATAAAAGTCTTTTAAAAAAAATAAACTTTAACCAAAAACAAAAAAAAAAACAAAAAACAAATATGCTTCGCGAGGCGAAGTGCTTATTTTTGTTCTTGTATATAAATACAGTATACATTAGGCACATTATAATAATAATAATAACAATAATAATAATAATAATAATAAAAAAAAAAATGAGAACCAGATGGATTGCCTTGGACGATGCAGTAGACAACTGGTTACTTAAAAAGAATAATACTGACCTTTTTTTTAATAAGTAATTTAGACTGGTACCATATATACAGACATATACATTCCTACATATTACAGTGCATACAACATTTTTTTTTTTTTTTTTTTTTTTTTTTTTTAGAAAGGAAGGGTGGGTGGGTGGATGGGGGTGGGGGGATAAAGCGATGTCTTTGAAAAAATAAAAGTTTTGAGGAGTTCTTTAGCAGGAGCACTTGCACTCAGATATGATGGGGTACTGTATGGGTATCCACGTGCACCTCTGCAGTGCCCTGCGCTGGCACCTCCACCTTAGGATGGTGAGATGCATGGACTTGGAGACCTTACAAACCATGCCCTCCGGGACAGAACAGGACCTCTTGGTGTAGCAGCTGCCCACTTTCATGTAGCGGGGCCAGAACCTGATGCCCAAGTCACTCCACGTGTACAGCACCGGACAGAAGGTCTGGGACCACAGCCACATCTGAAGCTTCCTCCTCAGCTTCTTGCTCAGTTTGTGCTTTTTGCCCTGCAGACCCTCATAGAACTCCAGGCCCTTGATCTCGGCCGGCATGGCCCCAGAGGGCTTTTGCCGGAGCAGCAGGTCCAGCTCCGCCAGGTCCTCCACGCCCAGCCTCTCCTCGGGCAAGTGGGTGGCCATGAAGTTGGGGTCGAAGTGGCCACCCAGGACAGTCCTCAGCTCGGTCTCGTTGAGATCCTTCTCCTTGGGGTCGAAGATGGGGTCCGGGGTGCTCGATCAGGTCTACCAGGGGCAGCTTTTCGCTGGGGGCAGGTCGGATGTGCAGATAGTGCTGGCCCACCGCTTGGTCTATTCGGAGCCCCAGGAAGACCACCAAGGCGTAGAGAGTCACAAGGCACTGGGGGTGATCCATGCTGCAGAGAGCCCACGAGAGAAATCACAGTCTCCTGCCTGCTCAGGGATCATAAAGAAGGCATCTGGGGGGTAAAATAGGGGAGGGGGGGCTCAGGGGTAGGCAGCAGGCTCAGGGTCCCCCCCTTCTCATGGGCCAGTTGCTGGAGAATTTTGGAATCTGGTGTGATTCTCGCACAGCTCACAGTCCTGATGGCACCAGTGTGTCTGCCTGCTTGGGTCCAGCCTTCCACACCCCCCCCCTCCTTGTTAAATATTCTTCACTTTCAGCTGGATCACCATGGTAACCAGAGACTCAATGTATCCAAGTGGGGAAGCAAAGGATAATCAGGGGGGTGCACTAGCAGCAGCAGCAGGGTGGTAGCAGCACCAAGGGGTTCCCCTCCAACCCCAAAAAATAAAAAAGTCAGCAAAAGTCAGGGAAATCCTGGGGTCTGTCCATGCAGGATCCCTTCTTCCTCCTCCTCCTCCTCCTCCTCCTCTTCTTCTTCCCCCTCTGAGTGCTGAGCCAGGCATGCAGCAGTGCAGAGCTGGAGCCAGTCCCTCTGGCTACTTTGGATTTATTAGCCGGACTCCATACGGCTGTGATGTAATTCATGTTTAAGTAGTGTGATAGCCTGTGGTCATGGTTGGTTGCTTCGGTGACACCTCCCTTTTTCACTTGAATGGTAGAAAAGGAAAAGGGAGGGGGGGTGCCAGTCCTTGTAGGCAGAAGGAGTATGACGCCCTCTGCTGGCCTCTAGTAGACTAATACATCGATCCGCTGGAGGTTCACTTTCCAAAGGAGGACAGTGACAGGGGATCCCATCTGCTACATGTTACATGTCCTGGGAGAGGGTACTGGGAGGTAATTGGGAGCTGCAGAGAGGAGGCAGGAAAGAGATGAGAGAGAGAGATGAGAGAGAGAGATGAGAGATGAGAGAGAGATAAGAGAGAGAAGACAGATCCAGACTGAGGAATGGAAAGAACGAGATAGTTATAAAAAGAAGTCAGAGGAGAGAAAGAGAGATATAGAACAGGAGAGAGATGAGGGAGATATAGAAAAGGAAAGAGATGAGCAACAATAGAACAGGAGAGAGATGAGGGAGATATAGAACTGAAGAGAGGGTGAGGGAGATAGAGAACAGGAGAGGGGTGAGGGAGATATAGAACTGGATAGAGGTGAGGGAGATATAGAACAGGAGAGAGGTGAGGGAGATATAGAACTGAAGAGAGGTGAGGGAGATATAGAACAGGAGAGGGATGAGGGAGATACAGAACTGGAGAGAGGTGAGGGAGGAGATATAGAACTGGAGAGAGGTGAGGGAGATATAGAACTGAAGAAAGGTGAGGGAGATATAGAACAGGAGAGGGATGAGGGAAAATACAGAACTGGATAGAGGTGATGGAGATATAGAACTGGAGAGAGGTGAGGGAGTTATAGAACTGAAGAGAGGTGAGGGAGATATAGAACAGGAGAGAGATGAGGGAGATATAGAACAGGAGAGAGATGAGGGAGATATAGAACAGGAGAGAGATGAGGGAGATATAGAAAAAAGAGAGATGAGGGAGATATAGAAACAGAACAGGAGAGAGAGGTGAGGGAGATATAGAACAGGAGAGAAGTGAGGAAGATATAGAACTGGAGATAGATGAGGGAGATTTAGAACTAGAGAGAGAGATGAGGGAGATATAGAACTGGATAGAGATGAGGGAGATATAGAACAGGAGAGAGATGAAGGAGATATAGAACTGAAGAGAGATGAAGGAGATATAGAACTGAAGAGAGATGAGGGAGATATAGAACTGAAGAGAGATGAGGGAGATATAGAACAGGAGAGAGATGAGGGAGATATATAACAACAGAGAGATGCAGGAGATATGGAACAGGAGAGAGATGGGTCAGATATAGAACAGGAGAGAGATGGGTCAGATATAGAACAGGAGAGAGATGGGTCAGATATAGAACAGGAGAGAGATGAGGGAGATACAGAGAGAGATATAGAAAAAAAAGAGAGAGATGAGGGAAATATAGAACTGGAGAGAAGTGAGGGAGATATAGAACAAGAAGGGGATGGTTTATATCTAGAGAGAGAGAGATGAAGAAGAAGAGAGGAATCAGGGAGATATATAAGATGACAGAGAGAGAGAGAGAGAGAGAGAGAGAGAGAGAGAGAGAGAGAGAGAGAGAGAGAGAGAGAGAGAGAGAGGATAGACATTCAGTAAAAAGTAGAGAGGGACAGAGAGTTGACTGCTATGCTATACAGTAAAAGAGACATATCTAGAAGTGAGAGTTGATAGAGGATGATCATATAGGTAGATAGAGAGAGATCAAGGATGGAGAGAGGCAAAGAAGTCAGGGAGATATATAAAAAGAAAGACAGAGAGATAATAGAACCTGTAGAACTGACAACTACAGAATATTATACAGAAAGAGAGACATACTGTATCTAGATAGAGAGAGTTGACAGGGATTATTATAAAAAGCACTAGATCAAGAGTTGAAGAGAGGTGTGGGAGACAGAGAAATAGAGAGATAGAGGAAGAGAGGTAAAAAAAATATATAACTGGAGAGAAATGAAGGAGATATATAACTGAAGAGAGAGATCTGATAGAGGATGATCATATAGGTAGAAACAGAGATCAAGAAATGGAGAGAAACAGTGAGATATATAAGGAGAGAGAGAGAGAGAGAGAGAGAGAGAGAGAGAAGAGAGAGAGAGAGAGAGAGAGAGAGAGAGAGAGAGAGAGAGGGGGGGACATTATAGGGGAGATTTACAAAAATTGGTGCACTAAGAATATGGTAACAGCTGTGCATGGCAGCCAAAAAAAGCTTCTAACTTCAGTTTGTTCAATTACAGCAGAGCTCTACCCAAAAGAGGAAAGTTTCTGCTTTAAGTCTTTGTTCCCCGTTCCCCATTAAGGATTGGCACCTTTGGGGAGCGGGTACCCAAATTTGACAGATACCCACTCCCACTTCCGCTGCGATCGCAATCGGAAGTGGAAGTTGTCCTCCTCCCCTCCCTCCCCGTAGTCTTCTGGGACATGTGACAGGTCCCAGAAAATTACGGGGCCATTCACAAAGCGCATTGCTTCTCCTGCAAGCTGTCACAGCCGGGTGCCCACACTGAAGATGCCGGCGCCAGGAAGAGAAGATGGCCGGTGAAACCAGCGGTGGTGAGGACACCAGTGGCCTGAGGGACAGGTAAGTGGCTGTATTTTAAAAGTCAGCAGCTACAGTTTTTGTGGCTGCTGACTTCTATTTTTTTTTTAGGTGGAACTCCGCTTTAAGCTTTGACAATAAAGCCTGGAAGCTTTTTGTTTTTTATGCAGAGCTGCACCAGATTTTGCACCATGCAGTTTTAGTAAAATAACCCCCTCAGGATAAGAGTGGACAGGGGCACAGAGCTAACAACTATGCTATACAGTAAAAAGAGAGAATATCCAAATAAAAGAGAGAGAGATTACAGAGGATGATTATAAAGGTAGAGATTGTTCAAGAGATGGAGAGAAGTGTGGGAAATGTGTAGTGAGAGAGAGAAAGAGACAGATGATAGATATGAGAAGTAAAGGGGGTGTCAGAGATAAATACAAAGAGAGCTGCAGGGTACCAGCATAAAGGTAGGGAGAGATCAAGAGATGGAGAGAGACAAAGATAGGTGAGAAAGATATATAGCTAAAGAGAAAAAGTTGATAGACATTCATTATAAAGGGGAAGAGAAACACAGAGATCAGATACAGAGAACTGTCAACTGTAAACAAAAGAGTGAGAGAGAGGAATATGTATTTAGCTAAGGAGAGAGTAGTAGAGATAGGATTAGAGAGAGAAACGTAGGAGATACTTAGATAAGGTGTGGGGGAGAGAGCTGATAACATTAGATAAAGAGAAAGTGAAACGTGAAAGATAAAAGAAAGGAAAGACAGAGCTAACCTACATTTAATGATAGATAGATAGATAGATAGATAGATAGATAATAGATAGATAGATAGATAGATAGATGATAGAAAAAAAAAGATAGATAGATAGATAGATAGATAGATAGATAGAAAAGATAGATAAAATAGATAATAATAGATAAATAAAAAAAGATAGATAGATTAGATAGATAGATAGATAGATGATAGAGAGATAGATAGATAGATATACAGTTGTGTCCAAAATTATTCAACCCCCACTGAAATTGAGTGTTTTGGCCAGTTTGACATTGCTTTTGATCATTCATCATCTTGCTTACATTTACATTAAAGAGGCACTTGTAGGTCAGACAAATATAACATAACAGTTATAATGAAATAACCACAAATGTCTTTTCTGTGCTCACAGCATTATCAGTTTTATTCAACCCCCAAGTGACATTCAATCTTAGTACTTAGTAAAAGCATCCTTTTACAGTTATAACACTTTTAAAACGTGAAGCATACTTGACACAAGTGTCTTGCAGCGATCTACGGGTATCTTCGCCCATTCTTCATGGGCAAAGGCCTCCAGTTCAGTCACATTCTTAGGCTTGCGCACTGCAACTGCTTTCTTTAAGTCCCACCCAGAGGTTCTCAATCGGATTTAAGTCTGGTGACTGCGATGGCCACTCCAAAATGTTCCAGCCTTTCCTCTGCAACCATGCTCTAGTGGACTTGGAGGTATGCTTGGGATCATTGTCCTGTTGAAAGGTCCAACGTCTCCCAAGCCTCAGGTGTGTGACGGA